TCGGTTTTTCACGGGATGCGGAAAAGCGCCTAAATAAAGGGCCGAGGTGCGCAGGCGCGCACGCGATACCGCGCCATATCGCCCCGAGCTGCGGAGAAGCGATCGACAGATCATGCGAGCGAAAATCGGCACCTTAGCCACGCCGCGTTAGAGCACGCATACACGCGTGCCCCAACTGGAGGAAATCCCCGTGCATTGTAGAGGTGCACGGGGGGCACGGGTTGTATAACTCGCGGCCATGTTCGATGCCGCGGATATATAGCCAGCGCGGCGCGATCTACTCGCGTGCATTAAAGGCACGCGAGTACGCATAAATTCCATCGCGCCAGTGAAAACTATGCGACCCGCTATCGAGGGCCCGACGTCCCTAAATCTCTCCATAGAATTCCGATTTTTACCGAAAAAGACATTCGCACATTAAGCAAAGGACTGAATGTTCCATCGGTAATTTGATTAATAATAAATGGAATCATCGATATGAAAAGTTAAAACGTAAGAATGTGCATTAATGACTGGCAAATATGCATGGAATCATCGGGCTGCTGAAAACTATGAAACTCGATATCGAAGTCCCTAAATCGCTCCATGGAATCCGCCATGAAATTTCAATTTTTTGCGAAAAAGACATTCGCACATTAAGCAAAGGACAGAATGTTCCTTCGGTACTTTGATTAATAATAAATGGGAATCATCGATATGAAAAGTTAAAGCGTAAAAATGTGCAATAATGACAGGCAAATATGCATGGAATCATCGCGCCGGTGAAAACTATGAAACTCGATATCGAAGTCCCTAAATCGCTCCATGGAATCCGCCATGAATTTTTCAATTTTTTGCGAAAAAGACATTCGCACATTAAGCAAAGGACAGAATGTTCCATCGGTACTTTGATTAATAATAAATGGGAATCATCGATATGAGAAGTAAAAACGTAAAAATGTGCATTAATGACCGGCAAATATGCATAAATTCCATCGCGCCGGTGAAAACTATGAAACTCGATACCGCGGGAAATGTCGAAATTATCGAAATTTCTTTGTCTACAGAAATAACCGTTTAAAATCAAGTACGGATCATCACAAATTTATACCACATATTATGAATTAATTACACAGACGTACTAAATTAATAATACATGTTACACATTTTCTTTGAAAATATGTTATAAAATTAGTATACCGCGCCTGGATAAAACTTCCAAGAAAAGTGTTAATAAAATTATGGTACGTTTTTTCTTTTCGTCACAGTGTAAGGATGAGGCGAGGCTCGCAGGCTCGCGGATATACCGCGAATATTCGATATATCTCGAGCCCGTAACCGGGCAACGGCACTGCTTAAAACGGATTATAACTCTCCCCGGTTGTCATTAAAACCAGTATCCCGGACAACCGGCGCTGATTATTTAGCAATACAAATCATTCGGGCCGCGAGTATCCGCCGGGCGAGTTCTCTCGCGTGCGCGGGCGTGGTACGTAGGTACGCGCCCGCTCCCGCGGCGAGCGCGCTCACTAGTTCGCACGCACTCGCGCGAGCGCGCTCCCCGGTGCATATTTACGCCTTTCTATACGTTTCCACCGGCCCGAGCGAGCGGGACCGAGCGATAGTTACGCGGCCCTCCGAAGCTCTCCGCCTAGGGAAGACAAATCGTCCCGAGTTTCCCACTGCTCGTTAGCGATCGCTCCGGCTTAATTTACAAGCCATAAAAGTTGCCATCGCCGACCAGTAGCCGGGAAAAATCATTCCCTTGGAGCGGCTCCAAGGGAATTGAAAAACAATCTCCTCACCTCAGCCCCCCCGAAATTTATCGTAATTATTTACGAATCTCCAACCTGGATACATTAAGTTGATATGAAAGGGTCATTCTACATATATATATTTCTATATATCAATCGAAGGGTCATTTTATATATATAAAGCGTCAAACTATTTATAAACCTTTTCGCCAAACTGGGTGCACCGAATCGTTGAAAGCTTTAACACGTGATTACGGAGGCCCTAAGGAAGAACGCGATGCCAATGAAATTTCATTTTTCAACCCAAAATATGTTTCCTTGGTTCTGGTATGGGCTACATAGAAAATTTTGTTCTGCCTCAGAGCCTTCATAATCACGCGCTGAAATTTCAAATTATTCGGTGCGCCCTGTTTGGAGAAAAATGTTATAAACATTTTGACGTTTTGGTATATATATACACATATGACACTTTCATATCACCTTAAATCATTCGAGACTTCAGCACGTGAAAATAAAGAGCCCAAGAAAGGTGCCGACCGTCATGAAACTAGTGTTATGTTTATAAACAATTTTGTAATTTAAGACAAAAATGAAATTTCACGAGCGTCGGTACCTTCCTTAGTGCCTCCACGTTCTAGAGGTGAAATTTGAAGCGATTTGGTGCATCCGTTTCGTAGAAAAGAAAAAAAACATTTGGGACGCTCCTTAACCTCTTTAGTGGCGAACGATGATACGTCTTACGATTTCGGTTGGCACTAAAAAGGAGGCATAATAAAAAGCGGGCAATTTCTAATGGATAATCTGAAATTAGTTAAATCGGGGTTGGAAAATGGTAATTTTGAGCGCGTCTTCGAGGTGGCGGCGCTAAGCCCTGCAGCGGGCGTCGCCGGGCGTTGCAGCTCCGGTGCAACGGCAGGCAGGCAGGGCCAGGTATGCAGGACCCCAGCTGCATGTGCAGCGCCGCATTATCGCGGAGTTACGTAAGCGCAATGCGCCTGTGTTGCGCCATAATTAGGCCCAACTCGGCGGGTTGGCGTGCACGTACACGGGGGCTCCGTGACCGCGAGCGCGGTGGCATAATCGCGCCTTTATCCGAGCCTTTATCAATGATCCTGACAGGGCATTAACAAATATGGCCGCCGTTGCCCCCGGCCGGGGCAGCGCGGATTCCGCGGGAAGCGCCAAACCTGTTCCCGGGCCTTTTTACGGGGCCGATTTATTAATTCCATCTCACCGCCCGCCGTTACGCTAATTATCGCGAAGGTAGAGTAGAGAGACGGAGAATCGCCAGGTTTTAAGGCTGGACGAAAGTGGCATTTCTTCTACATTTATGTGCAGAATTAAATGAAAAGAGTATAAAAGTATCTTAAGATGAAACCCCCTTCAAATCATTCGATTCGAGTACATTTTTTTTAAGGGTATTAGACTAAACTGTCCGAAACTTTGACACATCACTCTTGATCGTCTAAGAATTGTCCCGACACATTGAAAATTTGAATTTTTTTAAAAAATTTTATAACTCAGCCCAGACCAGACCCAAAATGGCGTCGAGCTCTCATATTTCGATCAATATATTTATTTTTCGAATTTATTCGAAATTAATTATCGAAGGCTCTGATATAAGAAACGAAGGGGTCAGGACAATTTTTACTCTGGTAATCGATAAACTCGCGTTTGAATGGGATAAAGGCAAAAAAAGTGTTGTATGCGCTGCTATGCTAAAGCGATGGGAATACGAGGTCTCGGAGTGAAAATTGAATTGACCTGGAAATCACAGATGGCGCAGGGGGTCCCTCTGCAGTTAATTAGGGCCCCAGAAAACACGAATCCAGAGGATTTCTGGAGTTTTACTTCGATTTCTTGATATTTATTGTACGAAAACGACAGGTGGAGTATGCCATTTGGTACAATACCCAATATAATTCGACACAGCTGTCGATATAAAAACGAACGTCGGCAACATATGCATTTAGAAAAATCTTTCTTATCGACGTCGATCAAGTTCCTCGACGTGTTTCACTTCACCTTAATCAGTTGACCCCTCGGATGCGACTTGCATGCCACCTTAATTCGTGTAGGAGGGCAGGTTCGACGATCCGGCGTGGAACTCGCCGTAAATGGTCTCCGCTCGCGAACCACGTGGTTAGCTCGGGTGTAAAGAGTATTGGAAGAATAAAAAATGATTATTTCCCTTGGTTTTCGCAACAGGGGGGTACAAAAATTCACGGAGTTCCTTGAGGGGTCGGAGAGGGTGGGGCACGGGGGCCGACCTTGGGAGGGCCTCCTATTTACGAATAAAAATTCACTCCTGACTCGGGTTGGTGCGATCCCGGTCGGCGCTCGCTCAGGGCGCTCGTCACGAAGTCTGTTAGCCGAGGATGCCGCGAAATCCTGACAGATTTCACCGTGGGCCGACGTAAACAATTTGCGAATGTAAATACCTGTTGAATATTGAGCGAGGGGGCCCCGGGGCCTCCACACTAGGCTCACACCTCGCGAGCGAGGGTCACCCTTTAGACCCGAGCCTCGCACCCTCGCCGTAAATTACGTGTCCATGGGCCCGGCATCGTGGAACCCCTGCCTATCCCTGGGGATCCCTTCGTCCTTCCCGGACGCATCCAAGGATCCTCCTGGGAGGCCGCCTTGCGGCCGTGGGACGCGGAATCCTGTCTGCCCTCGCGCTCTTTCGCGACCTCTTCCCGATAAATAGATAAAAAATCTACAGAAATATATATCTGCGCTCCCCTATTTTTTAAACGATTCCCGCAGTGTTCGAGATCGTACTATTTTCATAATAATTCACGATCCATAGTTACTAATAAAACTAATCCAAGGATTCTTCTGGGAGGTCGTGGGACGCGGAGCTCTGTGGGCCCTCGCGCTCCCTCCTGACTTCTTTTCAATAAATAAATCAAAATATTCACAAATATATTTATACGCTCCCCTATTATTTTTTTTCTTTTAAGACGATTCCTGCGCAAAATGAATAAATATGTCATGTTCTCGGCAGCTCGAAACTGCATTGGATGCATCATCTGGTTATCATGGAAATCATGCATTTTCATGATTATTCACGATCCGTAATAATTACTTATATAATGAATTAATATGTCATGTTCTCGGCAGCTCAAAACTGCATTCGATGCTTCATCTGGTAATCACGGAAGGTCGTTTACTTACTAACAGCATGCGGAAAGCGCTAATCGAGGAAGAGAAGTGACCCATCACCGGATCCCTGGCGCATCTCAGAGCGGAAAGAGGACTTACCATCTTGATTCATCCCGTGGGCTCCGTCATCTGTGGCAAAGAAAACGAGAGAACATGGATTAACGGCTAGTCTCGAGTTTAGCATTGTTGGTCGGCAAAGCCTCGCCGTGTTACGTTTATGGGACTCGCGGACCGCGCCCGGCCGATGCAACCTCGCACGGCGAACCTATTTGTACGGGGCCTCCTATCGTGGCATCGCGGTGTGTTCCTTTATTTAACCCCATAAATAAACTGGCTATCTCGCCCGATGGATATATACGTGCACGCGTATAACTACCCGGGAACGCAGAGACGCGCCGAGCTCGAACAGCCGAATTACAGATTTTCCGATACTTTTATCTCACCGCTTCACATACTTTATTAATTTTTTAACGTGTCGCTGGATATTCAAATCCATTTCTCTACGGAAATTATTCTCACTTTCCGACGTCTATCGAGGAGGGGAGAGAAGCTCGACATATTTTATTTCATTATTTTCCTTTTTTTTTGGTGTCGCTGGACATGCCAATTGTTGGATTAAGAAAGTCGAAGAGGCGTTCAACATATTTTATTACATTCATTTCTTGCGTCGCTGAATGTTGCAATTTTATTATTTAGGATGTTGAGCGATGTCGGTCTCGACATCCGAAATTTTATTTTATCAATTTTTTATGCCCCTAGGTATTTCACTTCTTTTATCAGGATAGTCGGCCGACGTCGATCTCACGGTCCGACGTCGGTCGAGGAACGAAGGGACGTCGGCGAGTGTTAAGACGGGTCGGGGACGTCGTCGAAGGGAACGCTTTGTCGGTGAGACCACAGGGCGTTCCACGGGGCAAAAATGGGCCCGATAGATGTCGAGGAACGCAAAGAGTTCCTTCCTACTCGGCGCAAGAAGTCCCTAACCGGCGAGACCAATTACCGCAGGCCTTTAATCCCGGGTGAGCACATAAACGGTTTATTGCCGAGAAATTGCGGGATATTAGAACGAGCAAACTGTTTCGTCAGTCAGTGACAGAGAAACTCCGAGGGACCACCGTCGTCATCCAATTATCGTATTACCCTTCGGAAAAGATCACTGCGGAAGCGGGAATGGGCCCGATGCAGCGAGAGTGCAACGTTGCACCGGCGTCGACCTTCCTCCACGTGTCGATGTCAATTATCTCGATAATGGAAATCGCTCCAATACATATTATACATAAATACTTGACATTTTGTATATATACTATATATAAATATTTTACACGAAAGGTAAGTCTAGGCACGTTAAATAATTTATTAAAAATCCGGGAGATGATTATTAGTAACTGTGGAGTGGCTCGTCGAGGTACGCCGTGGGAGGCGATTCGATTTGCAAAAATAGGGGGTCGATCGATTCCTCGGAACGAGGGGGAGGGTTCGCCATCCCGATTTTTCCGGGGGTAATTAAAAGCCCCCTCCGGGCTCGCGATTTAACGCCGCATATCTCCCCGGCGATCTTCCCCCGCGATTTCCAGCTTCCCAGAATGAGACCTCAGCATTCCTCGGGGTTCTTCTTCCCACCTCGGCGGAGACGCCTTTCTTTCCGCCATTCTTTGCCGGCTTTCGTTCCCCGAGAAATCGGCCCTTGAGCGGTCGCGCGTCTTCTCGTCGATTCTCGAAAAATCCCAAACACCGTCTCGAGACCGAAAAATTGATATCCCCTCCACATATCGATAATATCCACCCTGATTAACCCTCCAACTGAAAATTCGGCCATTCTTATAAGTGAAAAAAAATATATATGAATTTAATTCTCGAAAATTGACGTATATGATATATGTTTAAACCCCGGAAATTAAAATTCCAGCCATCTCTCGAAGAGTAACGTTTACAATATAATGACGTTGGGTCAATTTCCGAGTTAATTAAAAAAAAAAAAGAAAAAGAAAGCAGAGGAACTGAATTCCCCTCTTTTCGCCGCATCAAGAGGCGCGCTCGCTTTCGCCGGCTCGGGGCTCAAAATTGACTCGTTAATCCGCAACGACGGCGAGTTATGGCAACCACCGCGGGATAGCTATAGCTTTCTAATGCATCTTCCCACCGGGGCGGACAGTTTCGATAATCGGCCAGATTAATATCCGAGATTAATACGCCGGAGCGCGCGAGCGCTCCCCGGGGCCGGGCGCGATCAGCTGATCGACCGATCGGCCGATTCCGCGGAAGCGAATTTGAATATCCTTGCGGGAGGCGGAAACGGCCGCGATAATTGTCGCCGAGTGCAAAAACCCGATATTTCCAGGGGAGAGAGAAAACCGGGTCGATGAGGGAAATCGGCGTGACGCGAGTCAATCGTGACGTTAGTCGGCACGCCAATTTTATCTCGCCTTCGAATTATGACATTGACTCCCGTTCGCATGAGGTGGAAAATTTCAACCGGTCTTAAGGCGATATGAAAGTCACTTCCGTGGGCTCGACAGTTTATGAAACATTTCTCCGAGCTGGATGCACCGAATCGTTCCAAACTTTATCACGTAAATATGGGGGCCATAAAGAAGGTCCCGCCACCCATGAAATTGCGCTATTTAAAAAAAAAGAAATACTGAAATGCCTATAAAAGAATTTTTTAAAAATTGATATTTCATGCCTGTCAGGATCTTCCTTATAGTCTCCGTATTCACATTGTAATGTTTGAAACAATTAGGTACGAATTTATAATCGGTTCAAGCGGGACTTCCGCGTCGCCTTAAGTCCTTCGATTCTGAGTAAACTCGAAAATTCGCCGGCGAGTAAACTGCAACGCCCGAGCCGGGTGAACGTAAACCGCGACCGATCGATCGGCAATCGTCATATGCTAATATTTCCAGTTCCCACTTTTTCCCATCTCGCACACGGCATAGACACATAACTTATATCGGGACAACTATCGAGAGTGTATCGGCCAGCCTCGAGTCCGAGGGACGAAGACGGCGACTTCTGCCCCCTCCTCCCTCTGCCCCTCTCTCTCCGGGACAATATTTATCGCGGTGAGAATTAATTATTGCCCACTGACAGTGCAACGCCGGGGCTGTCGTTCGTTCTCGCGGGCCCGCGGAAAAATCGCGGAATTTAATCCGTCTCTGCGGCCGCAATTGATTGCGCGCCCTCTCGGCCTTAACGAAGATCGAATCGCGTTAAGCGGCATTACGGGGTATTTTTGCACATTTTTATTTCCCCCTCCCCATATCTTCAATAGTTAAATCCGAGGAATTTAGAGTGGGCGTCTCAGGTCGACGGAGTGCGTAATACCAGAAGGACGTGGTCGAGTTTCGCGTCCGAAAACCGGGATTATCGCCTCTAAATAAACTTTCCCGAAGGGGGCAATTCCTTTTAATTGTACCATTGCAAACTGGAAGCACAACCACGAGTTTGAGGTGAAGAATAAATATACATATATGAAGAAAAACTCGACCAAGCAATATTGACGGGATTTTCATTCGCGTAAATCGAGGAACGCCTGTATGTTATATAGATATTAAAAATTAGCCTTCTTTGCGGGAAATCTCGAATGTTAATACACCTGCATCACTTTCCAGGGGGTATATACCGTTGAGTTTTCTCGTTAAAAAGGCGTAAAAAAAAAGAGAAAAAAATTAATAAGACCAAGGCAACCGAGACAAGTGCACCTTGTCGGGGACAACGAGGCAGGTCTTTCGGGGCCGCTTTGTCAAATCTCTGATATCATTAGATTTAACGACCCGGGGCGGGCGCTCGTGCCGTGTCACTGGCTCCCGCCACGGCGGCGTCTTTCATCTCCCTTAACCAGGCCGACGAGCGCCGGTACGGATCGTTTGTAGCTGTATGAAGCGACCGGGTGTACGTCCGTGTACATCGGGCCGGTATGTACCCCTAACCGCGAGGTGGAGTGCACCGATCGCGTCGGGCCGATCTCTCCGATCCGGACGTCTCTCTTCCTCTCTGCCCCCCGGCCCGTTTTTCCCCTTTTTCGCCTTTTTCGCCTTTTTATCCCCGCCGTTTCTCCGGGCTCGTCGTCCGGCCGAGCGTTGACTTCGCGGGCCTCTTCCTTCCCCTTTCGCTGCCGGCTGTGTCCTCCTCCTCGCTTTGCTAACTCGATTGTTCGCCCGGAACAAAGCTGTCTTTCACCTTTTGTACCGGCCGCGGTTGCCACCGACGGCCTTTGTCGTGAGATACCCGATAATCGGCCGCGAAACATCCCGAGCCGCTCCTTCTCCGGGCCCGGCATTTAATTAGAGCCTCCCCGCGACGCCGACGTCGACGTCGGCGAAGGGGACCACGTCGACGTCCACGAGCGAGGGCGGCGTCGATCGCGAAGAAACTGAGACACTCAGTGGGGAGAGTCGCGATAAGATTTACGATTTCCAGGTTTTTCGATGAAAAAAAAAAAATACAAGAAAAATGAAAATGTGTCCACATACAAATTTTGAACGTTGAAAATTGAAGATTCCCATGCACGCGGACCTTCCTCGGAGTCTCCAAATCCACGTGGTAAGATTTCACACGATTCCGCACACCCAGTTCAGAGAAAACGTAACATGTTGCCGAATGCCACTTTCACGTCGCCTTAAGGTGTTACGAAAGTGTCATATATACATCTCAAAAACTCAAGATATTCATAAACCTTCCTTCCGCTCGGAATTAAGGGGCTCCTATCAAAGGACTTTATATCTGCGTAATTTCGTGTTACAAATGAAAAAATTCCGCATTTATGACGGACAAGGTCGAAAATAATGTTTTACTTAGAAAATGGATATCTCGTGAGTTTCGAGACTTTCGTTAGGACGTCCACAATTCCGTGGTAAGGTTTCAAATTATCCGGTGCACCCAGTTTGAAAATATGTTTCATAAATATTATTACGTTTTGATGTGTATAGAGTTACCCTTTCGTACCACCTTAAGTCTTTCTCAGATAATCGCGAGATAAGGGACTGTCTTAATATCTAGGGAGTACGTAAAGCAACCTGGATTCGTAAGAAGAAACGTACGTTTTTTCTTGGAGTCCTCGTGCATACCTCCGGGTGTCGTGGCTCCAGAATTGTGGTGATGCAGAAGCGAGTCCTGGGGGTGCGGATGGATCCCGGCGAGGGCGCTGCCCCCGTCTCCCGGGTTCACGCCGACGCCCAGGTGGAGGGCCCCGTGCTGCGTCCCGTGACCAGGAAGCTCCATGCTGATCATAGCACCCCTCCGCCGCGCGTTGGGCCTCTTCGGGGTAGGTAGCTCGTCGAGGTACTCCTGGTGGACGAGGCGGCGGGTCGAGCCTCCTAAAATGAGAATCTCCATAAACAACACAGTAAAAAAAAAATTAAAAAGAAAATCAAAAGGAGATTAAATGCAGGTATAGTCTAAAAAAGACTGCAATTCAATTTTTATCATTGCTCGGATAAAGAATAAAGTGCTGTTTTGCAGTCGATGGGGTTATTAATTTTTGAGTCTGATTTATTATCGGGTAAGCGGCGCCGGTTGAATGATACTCCTAAAGATCGGTTATATTTCTTTCTTTTTCTTTTTTTTTTTTCATAACGAATTTCTGTGACAACCGGCCTCGACGAGACCGACCGAAAGTACCGTACCGTCGGGGGAGTTTCACTTGAGAAACTGTCGATCGATACGAATCGGCTCGTAGGAAGGCCTCGGCCATTTCGGAGCACGCGAGAACGCGACGTGGAGATCGGCCGAGATGCTCGGCAGGAACACGAGGCTATTCGACCCGGGTGAACGGCTGATTGTTCCCGGCGAAGGTACATCCGTTGTCCATGGGAACGTCTTAATCCATCGTGTAGCGGCGTTACCGCTAACAGTACGCAGGGAAGACCAGATCGACCGCGGAGATGGATCGGAGATCGATTCTGGACCGGGATCTCCAGACCCAGGGAAGATCCCGGATAAAGGGACGAGGGAAAACGCCGACCACAACCTCTGGACCAATTATGTCATCTGTCACTGTAACGGCTACCACACGACTTTCGAGATTAATCGAAATCGCCGCACTCGTTATGCGCCTCGGCGAGCTCGGCCTCGTCCCGCGTCTTCAGGGTCCTGGATACCCTTCGAATGTGCAACCATGTTCTCCAAACATAAATACGACCCCCCAGCAAAAAATTCTCCCTGGACGAGTTTGCTTCCGCAAAAAAGTTTCGAGTCCAGTTCCGTCCTAGCGAAGTCCGGTTCCTTCGGTTCCACGGGGCCCTCTTCAGGTTCCCATCGGTTCGATCCGGGTTTTCGGGGCCGTTACCCACCGTCATTCGTCATGGTGACGGTCAGTGACACTGGGCCGGCTAGATGGCTCAGACGGCGGAGACTGCCCGATGGCCGATGGATAACTATGCCGGGGCGTGTTCCTAGGGAAAAATAAAACCGCGGCCCCGTGGTCCACGGTGCAATTGCCTTCGCCACGCTTTTTACGGCCCGAAGAGGAATCGTTTCTTCGTCCCTTTCTACGTAATGGGTCGGAGAGACCGGTGGATCTTTTTTGCTTATTACTCCGACGGTGGACCCTCGGCTCGGATGGCTCGAGATGAATGAAACGATGAATGAAGCGTCATTTTCGTAGTCAAGCGAGCTAGGAGGACGCCGGAAACCTCGCCCTTTAGGACCTCGCATCCACCCACGTATAAAACATACCCTGAGAAAAAGAAATCAATGAACCGAAGAAATACTTTCTTACTTCATAGAATTATTTCACCCAATTAAACTGAAATAAATTGTCATCATTTCGATCAAAAATTGCATCCCATTTGTCCGAGTATTTGGTTCAATGATATTTATTTCTCAGTGCACTGATTTGTAAGAAAAAAGTTTCCTATTCAAATTCGCACCCTTGCCAAAATTTTCCTCAGACGGGACGAGACGTCACTTTGAAGATCTCGTCCTGCAGGATATCAACCTATAACGTAACGTGAAAAAATGAAGGAATCTAAAAATTGCTACGGAGAGAAAAATTTCGTAGCGATGGAAAGGCAGCACGTTCTCATTTTCTCGATTTTCTCCGGGAGATCTCCCTTCCTCGGGGAGGGGAGAAAAAGTCTCGGGGCACCCTGGGAAAGTGGAATTTGCTAAAGGGCCCCGTTTCCCGTCCGGCAGTTCTCGTTCGCTCTACTAACAAGGAGTCTCGCGGAGTTAAGAAAGCCGGCTCGGCGGAAATAAGCCTAAGAGGCTCGCCCGAGTTTACAAGCGCGGAGGAGAGCTCAAGAGGAAATTGCGCCGCTTAAATTTATACCCCGCGGATCTCCCGCAAACTGCCGAACAATCGTCTCATCGAGCCTAACTGGCGATTTGCAAATTGAAATATTGGAAAATCGGGAAGTCTTGCGATTCCGGAGAATTCCATTCAAGGCAATATTTTTCGTTTTATTTTCAGAGCGACGGGTGATAGGAGGGTTGAGTAGTACAAATATATCTGTGCATACTCGTATATAATATTCTAACAACTCCAGGCTAAAACACACGTTTGCTCAAGAAGCCACGTACCCCGAAGAGCCATAAGGAATGTGCGGAACGAGGGCCAATTTCCGTCAGTAGTGAAGGGGGCAAAAAGGGAAAAGCACCCCGGGAAGACGGAATATCTCCTAAAGAGTCCTCTCCAAGGAAAGGAAGCGGGTTTAGAGCGGAAATAAGGGCGAGCCGGGACGACCAGGGGTCCTTAGGGATCGTTCCTGGCTGCAGAGGCCCCGAGTGGGTCGCCGATTAGGGAGTATGTACAGGGACGCTAATGGAAGCGAGAATGCACCGCGAGTACACAGCGTAAAACGCCCGCGAAGAGCGTTCCAGGAGCTGCCCATGAGTGCGAGAGAGGCAGACCTATAGGGCGGCGCGCGAGTGCAAGAGAGACGGCGCTAGGCGCGAGCGCCAGAGGTTCCGGAGCGCGCTCTAGGCCCTCCCTACGAGTGCGAGGAAGACCGACCTATAGGACGGCGCGCGAGTGCGAGAGAGACGACGCTAGGCGCGAGCGCCGCAAGCTCTCTCGGGACTGCGAGGTCCTGTCACGGGTGGAAGAGAGAGCCACGCATGGGCCCGCGAATGGGCCCGAGGAGGTCGGGAACTGACTCGAGCTCCTCGAAAGTCCCACCGTGGGAGTAAGCTCGAGCACAGCCGGGTGGCACAGTGCGCGCCGCTAAACCATTGTTTATGGGCCCTGAACGCTGCGTACTTTACTAACTACCCCCACGCCCCTGGCGGGACCGGTGGAGAACCACTCGGGAACCACTCGGGAACCATTCCGGGACCACTCGGAATCACTCGGAACCACGGCGCAACGAGCGCCGGTAACCGCTCCGCGCATCCACGTGGACTGGCCAAGATGAAAGGGCTCGCGCCTCTTCGGCTTCCACATCAAGGGGAACGACCGAGCCTCACCCTCGGGGGAGTCGCTGGTTTAGAGAAATCGAGGGGGCTTTTGTCTAACTAGGAAAAATCTGACTCTTCAGGGTACTCTTCAGGTACTCTTCAGAGTATTCTCCGAGGTGCGCACCAAGGTCTAGATCTGAAATTCGCTCGCGATATTCCTTTGCGGTGAAAAGAAATACTCGTAGAAGTCGCCCCTCTCACGGGAGGCCGCCAAGTGCTCGGTAACGTTATCGGGCCCCGGGGCCCGGCGATAAGGCCCAAGCGGGGAAAGTGCTCCCGGTCTGACACTAATAGACGGCATCGCGTCGACTGCACGTGCGCCATTGGAGCGATAACGGTAATGGACGCCCGGAAGACGATTGGGCCCTATACGCCGTCCGTAGATCGGGCCCACTTTTTCGCGATTTTCGAAAATTCCTAATTTAATCGAGTCAGGGTCCAAGAGGGAGGGCGCCTCGGAAATCCTGAACTGTTCTTAAGGTGAAGTGAAACACGTCGAGGAACTTGATCGACGTCGATAAAGAAGATTTTTCTAAATGCCTACGTTGACGACGTTCGTTTTTATATCGACAGCTGTGTCGAATTATATTGGGTATTGTACCAAATGGCATACTCCACCTGTCGTTTTCGTATAATAAATATCAAGAAATCGAAGTAAAACTCCAGAAATCCTGGATTCGTGCTTTCTGGGGCCCTAATTGACTGCAGAGAGACCCCCTGCGCCATCTGTGATTTCCAGGTCAATTAAATTTTCACTCCGAGACCTCGTATTCCCATCGTTTTAGCATAGCAGCGCATACAACACTTTTTTTGCCTTTATCCCATTCAAACGCGAGTTTATCGATTACCAGAGTGTTCTAAATTGTCGTAAAATTGTCCCGACCCTTTCGATTCTCATATCAGAGCCTTCGATAATTGTACATTGATCGAAATATGGGAGCTCGACGCCATTTTGGTTCTGGTCTGGGCTGTTAAAAAATTTTTTTTAAAAATCCAAACTTTCAATGTGTCAGGACAATTCTTAGATGATCAGGAGTGATGTGTCAAAGTTTCGGACAGTTTGGTCTAATACTCTTAAAAAAAAGTGTTTCACTTCACCTTAAGGCCCCAGCTGGGAACAAAGGTAATCGCAGGGGCCCGTGGGGCCCGACGCAGGGCCCTTACGTAAATAGCGAGAGGCCGCCGATACTCGGGGCCAGTTTAGTCGGCAAGTCCGGAGCGGATCGCGTCTATGGGGCTCTAAAACGCAGCGCAGGGGCCGTAAGGCCCCGTAAGGCTCCGTAAGGCCCCACGGGGCTCACAGGGCCCGACTGACCCCCGTAATGGCGGCAGTCCGAGCTTAACAACGCGTGACAATATGCATGTGCCGGAATCGCCGATTCCCGGTTTACATCCCGGTTTTACACCCGATCCCTCGGGAGAACAAGGCCCCGGCGAACAAGGGAAATCCCAGATCGCTGATGCGCCGACCTGGGGCGGTCCCACGCCGAACCGCGATACATTATGCAACTTCGCGGTCCATAAACGAACACTCGCGCCAGGAATCCGGTGGAGGCATCCCTGCAGGAGTCCCGACCGATTACGCGCCTTCGGGAACCACCCCCTGGGAGCACTCGCACTTTCCGTTACTGGCCGGCATGTTTATTAATTTTACCCCCATCGAGCCGCTGGAATTCCGAGATCCTTCGCCTTTCCCACCGCTCTTTCTTTTTATACTCATTCATATTTATTATTAACTATTTCTTACATTTTCCCGACCTCTCGAAGTTTATACTCAGACATATTGTGCTGATTTCATCGGACATTTTCAAGAAATTGATAAAATATGTGTA